GAGCAGTCCCTCTGAATATCCTGTAAGCACAAAAATATAAGTACTATTGAAATGAGACAGGTCTCTAACTGCAATCCAGTTTGGAGCATGTCTCCAAATGTTCAGTAGTTCCATTGGGAAACCACTGTTTTTTCCTCCCTGTGGAGTGGATGATGAGATTCTAATTGCCAATTGTACTCTGAACAATAGTAAATACCAGGCCTTAGCTTGACAGACAGTCTCTGCAAAAGAAGCAGACAAGCCCAGCTGGGAAGCATTACAGGGAGAAACTTTCACTTCTTATTTAAGAGCTGAATTATAACCTGGTTTTGCTTAACATTATACAGATGCATGTTTAGTAAATCCAGCTGTGGTTTATTGGACAGAGCCAATGATTTTTTTTTTCCTTTTTGAGAATAGCTAAATTGGCCCTGGATTCTATTAAAATGCATTTTTATTGCCTACATTAAGCTTTAATTGTGTTTCATGTTCGAACAGACCTTTTCCTTTTATATGGACAACCAGAGTGATTAACAATAACATGCCAGAACAAATGCAATAATATCCAAAACAACAAATCAAACAATAAGAAAAATTACCCAACAGCAATGCTGTAATAGTCTATCCTCCATGCTGATAGGAATGGTTTTTTTTTTTTTTTAACATATTGATAATATACATCACTCTATCTTTTATTTCCAGAAAACAGAAGCAGTGGGTATTTGGAACCAGTATCTAGATACAATAGCAGAGTGGATGAAGACCAATAAATTGAAACTTATGAAACTTAATGCTTGGATAAGTAGTTGGTAGCACTCTTCCCCAAAGAAGTCAACAAACAGTGATCTTTTATTTCCCTAACCCTAACCCTAACTCCAACTCCCCTCCATCCTAACCAATATGGCCAGTATCATAAAAGATGAGGATAATCCTGCAGTAAGATTTATATAATTTGAAAGAAGTTCTGCACAAGTTTTCATACCAGAAAACCAGAAGGACGCAACTAGGACCAACCCTAGAATATCCCATTCCATTTCATAGTACAATGTTGGACCAACCATTTAGAGAAATAATTTATCTTGTGCTCTCTTACACTTTTGCACATTTGGAAATGAACTAGAAATGAATCAGTCTGGTTCCTTGGAAGTGACTTAGAATGGCAAGCCATAGCATGAAGAGCATTGGCCTACAGCTAGTGACTGGAAAGCACTGAAATAATCCACCGCAGCTGAAGAAAACTGAAAACCTTGAATTTTCCAGTGGGGAATTCAGCATAGACTGTAATGCCCAACAACAGTGCTAGTTCAGTGTTCAATATTCCTAAAATCTATCTAGATGTTGGGACAGATGAAATGTTGCTCCAACCCTGCAAAAAAAAAGTTCATCTGAGCTTTAAGTGCTACTCAAATTTAGGAGGACTGCCTGGGCTGGTCAACTTACACTTTGAACCATTAGCACTTTGTTATCTCTTCTGCCACAGCTTTGGGCCTGGTTCTGCAGAGATAGAAAGCATCCTGGTTTCTCTGGAAAACTATCATAAACAATTGCTCAGTCCTCTCAACAACATCCAAATCATAATTGTATTATCCTTGCTTGCATCTTCATAATTTAAGAGGACATTTTGTGCTTGATATTTGCCAATCTTGGCAACAAAGGGGCCAGGAGAACTGGCAGTGGATGTGAGTCTTCCACATCTGCAAAGATAGAAGCTTATTTTGCCTCGAATTCACTGCTTCAAGATGTGGTATTAGTACATTGTTACTTTGTTACTTTTTTGGAAGTAAGAAGTAACGTAAATGTTTTTGAAAGCATATGCATTAAAGTTCTTAATGTCTTACTCAAAAAGAAAGCTGATATTTATCTAGAGAAATCCATGTCATGATTTTTAAATATTATATTCTACAGTATCTGTGCTTTCTACCACAAGCATAAACCATTGGGTCAAAAACGATTATATATAAATGGCTCTGACTAAGAGTGGTACAGGGCAGAGAAAAGCTAAATCAGGCTGGGAAGAGCATAGCTAAATTCTGCTGGCTGGCCCCACCAGCTGTTGATCTAAAGAAAACTAGACTGACACTATGAAAAGATAAATACATTTATATGGAAGAACAGAATGTCCATAAACTAAATGCATAATTTGGTAAGCTTCATATAAACATCACCTGTTAACTTAGCTGATCTTGGTCTCGTAATGATTCCAAAGGAAAGGAACAACGTAAACCCAAAGGCCTCAATCATACTTAGCCATGCAAAAATAAGTTGAAATACTTTTGAAAAAGTATGGAGGGGGGATATATCTTTGGATCTGTATGTCCGTTCAAAGAATTGCAAGAAATGCAGAGAACAGCCTTCTTACACAGATCCTCAGACTGCATCATATGATGCACATTCAATTTCTATCCATAGCACCCTGTGCTTCACTGCAGCTGCCCAACAGTCTTCTCAGAAAAGTTAGAAAGACTAGGATTCCTACTTTCTCCTCTCAGGGACTCCACTTGAAATGGGTGGTTTCCTGTACCAGGAGAAGTATATGCAAATAGGTCACTGAATGGTGGGGGTGGGTATGATTCAAATTCCTTTTCCCTCCCCCTCAGTAAAATAGAGGATGTAGCTTTCTATTTGTCTAGCTAGCTGGAAGGCAGGACAGAAGTTGGTGTCAGAAATAAGACTCTCTGTGTGTGTGAGAGAGAGAGAGAGACTGGTATGAGAAACAAAACCTTGGGAAACAAAAAGCTAATGGAGAGGACAAATAAATGGCTGTAGTAGAGGCCAGCTAGTGATTAGAAAATAAGCACACTCACATCTCCAACACTCCCAAGCATGCCTTTAATCACACCTACAACAGCTCTTTGTTTTAAATGGCCTTCAAGGCAACAGGTGAAGAGGTGTTAATAGATTTCCACTTTTAGAGGTTGTAGTTGGATAATGTTGGTATAAGGGGAAAATACTAGCTATGTGTAAAACCTACCATTCCAGAAATGAAATGTTCTGAATAATTTGTTCTAACTCTCCTCCAGATATGTTGAGCTAACCATTCAACTTTCCCAGAAATTACTCCTCCAAACTGGCAGTGTTTTGTGGTGTTCTAGGCTTATGAGGCCTATTTGGGGTCTGGACCATGTCTAAAACACTACAAGCCTCTTCTGCTTTGGAAGTTTAACTTCTAGAAAACTCTGTGTTTCAGTACACCCTGAAATACCTGGATTGGCATTGACCGGGAGCAAAATAAAATGCAAGACTCCATTCCCAGAAAGGTAGAATTTGCACATATCTAGGAAATACTACTTCAATGCAGGAACCGCTAATAGTGTCCTAAGGCTGTCTCATTAGAAATCTGAGATTTACTCATATACCTTGGAGGAAAAGTACAAGAAAGAGAAGGTGCTGTAGTTTGACCCAAGTACTAGAGGAATCTTTTGCAGGTTAGTATAGTTGTATACTATACTAACTATAACTCATACAAGGTTCTCAATGCCCAAGATATTTTGCTGCCTGAGGCAAAAGAACAACTGGTTTGAGCAACAGGCAATTGTAAATGCATAAATTCTTTCTCGTTTTACCTTGGACTGTATTCTTTTGATGGGTTGAGGGCTTTTATGTTGTTTTTGCATCTACTGTTTGCTGCCCAGAGTTATGGATTGAAGATGGACGGCTATATACATTTTCTAAACAAATAAATATTTAAATCACCCTGAGGTCATTTGACTCCATTGAATAGCTTATAGTTAAATTCTCATTTTAAATAACTTATATGATGGAGACAAGATGAAAACAATATCAGAACATAGATATTGCAAGAGCATATTTATGCTACAGTTAGTTAAAAGTGGGGACGGTCTACATTCTAAACATGGGGGATCTGGTTTTTTGGGGAGTTCTGGAAGTTACTGATGGACACTTCTTCAAAGTTCACTCATTTTGCTTCATTTTTAATCTCATATCATGTGAAAGTTTCTAGGTCTTTGTACAACCTGGAAAATAATAGTTTGGATGTGTGTAGAGAAATACATCCACCACTGGCTCATGGCCTGATTCACAAATAAAACTCTACCATTGTTTAGTGTGATAAGGATAAGCAGTTCAAACATTAGGTTCACATATTCCTTTTTCTTCTAGTTGCCCAATAAGTTTGCAAATAAAAGGTCAAAGGATTCAGCTTCCATCTGAGATTAACTAGTATAGCTTTGTGTCAGATTTAGCTCTGCATTTGGACATGTGTCAAATTATAATTAATCTAAATTATGATGAAGCTTTTGATCTGTACAAGGTGGCTCCAAAGGTTCAAACTCAAGGTTTCTGTAGATTAATTTTTATCACAATTATCTATAGATAAACTAGACTATGGTTTAGTAGTGCATCTGAATCAACCCAATGTTTAGGTCTAATAAAAATATATTGTTATTAGTACAGAGTGTCATTTTTTTTTTTTTTTGCAAACTATATAACTTATAAACAAATTGAAAATACAACAAGGAACTGGAAAAGGAAATTGACAGTTTTGTTGATTAAAACTGACAGTTTTGTTGATTATAAGCATTTAATAAAATATTACATAATGGCTCAATTATTTCATTTTTAAATGTTACCACTGTCTTTTATTTGCTTGTATGTTTTAATAATCTGGCATAAAACCTGGAGTGAGATCATTTATACTATTTCCAATTTAGAGTAAAGTTCTATACAGATGCTCCAAAAGATACAATGCTCCAAAAGCTTGAGAAGTAATGTTTGGTTGACTAATTACACTACACTGAATTTTAGAAGAGTTTTGTCACCAAAGACAATGGGAAAAGGATTTCTTCTTTAATTATGGTTTCTAGAATGAACAAACTGTTAACTGGATATTTAGATGCATGTGCCATTAATAGCCTGTTTGTACTATTAACTCTGCTTCTAATTTTATGCACTTTTAAATTGTAAAGTCAGTTATTTCCTATAGTTAGCAAGAAAGCAATGTTCACTAGATACAAAGGAGTAAATACAATAGGCTCCTAGCAGCAGGGTAACCTTGGACTTACCTTTTCATTCCATTTACTGAACAATGTTTCCTTTTTGTCTGAGAACATCTGCATTCTGAAACGACTTTCTGACTTATCTTTTTTCAAATTGCCACCAACTCTGAGGAGTTTATAAGGAGCTTCTTTCCTGCACATTAGATCAGTAAGTGTATTTATTTCCTCTCCTAAAGAACCAACAAGTTGCTGAACCTCCAGGATCACTTGTTCAACGCCTTCTAAACTTTGCTTATGTTGTTCAGCATTCTTGGTCATTTCAGAGAGCTTCTTGTTAATGTCCGTACATAATAGCTTTGTATCAGAGCTCATTAACTTTTCTGATGTGACAGCAGGTGGTCTTTTGCCACAGCTCCTTCCATTTGCTTTCAAGAGTTCAATATTCCCTTCTGTAGAACAGATTTCCTGTGAAACACAATCTAACTTCTGCAGAACATTGTCTTGCATGTCAGCAATGCATATATTTTCTGATCCAAGGAAACCACCTTCAAGTCCAACACACATCTGTTTTCAGGAGCGCAGAAATTTGTGCTTGATAAAGAGAGTGTAGGGGAAAGTCCCTCTTCATGAGACATGCTGATTCTATAAAGCATTAGGATCAAAAATATTGGCCAAGGAGTTTACTACTGATGAAGATGACTTCTTTTTGCTGGAGGTACCATTATATCTATTTACATGAATGTACAGAAGCTAAATGAAGAGAACTCCCTTCAGAAGCTTTCTAAGGGGCAGACACCAATGTATGTGATCAAGCTCAATCTATTAAAAGAGGATGCTGAAACTTGAAGATACAATCTGAGTAGTTAGGAAAAACATCTATTTCTTTTTTAATATTCCTGAGAAAATATCATGATGGTCCAGGCAGGATGCCAAGCATCCTCATCTAAATACACTTGCAGTCAAGTGACCATCAGTTCTTAGGGAAGTCAGAAGAATTATTTGCACTTGTGGAATGTGATTTCATAAAGGCTGTAAGACATCTGAGAAGCGAGGGACATTTTAGCAACTGCTTATGACCAATATGTGTCTAGCATCCAACTGGATCTGTGATATGAACCAAATGAGCACCCCTAAAGGGAAAGCTAAATTTGGGTGCTTGACATTTTCACAGCTTAATACTAATTGTTTAAAGTGCCAGCTGCTTTACAAAAAAATTCTTGGCATGCAGAGAATTTATTTCAAAGCATGTTGTAACATAAATAGTTCCTAAAATTTAGAAGCTGTTTGCATATAAGTAGAATTAGAGATCCCTTTCTTCACACACTGCTATTTATTCTTTTACTTATTTTATATCCTGCCTGCTCGAGGATATAACAAAACAGGAACTGTATAATGGAATTGTATCAAATCAATAGGACCTGGTTGTGACAAATATCATACTGAGTAAATAACAGTCATAATAATTTATCAGAAAAACTGATAGCTGATTTTTGGTCTTTCTTCTGCAATATACAGCTGACATTCTTATATATTAGTTTACAAAATGTTTGTATGTCCTATTCATATAAAAACTCAGAAATGATAAGACTAAGCTCTAGTCCAAAACATGGAATATATAGTATATACTTGAAGTATATATAATGCTCTTGTGTGACCCAACTTCCCCACTGATTAGAAGGAGAGTATGATATTGAATTGAATGGTAAAGTTATTATATGCATACATTTCTTATTATGGATACTGAAATTTATACACATATACCTTCAGCTGTGTCAATCATTAAAAGTAGAAGATAATTAGCTTATAATTTCAAAACAGATATAACTTCATTGAAAAGTGATATCAGTTGTTTGTCCTGTCCCTGTTAACTAAACTGTTAATTTTGGAAAAGCCCCAACTGTGGACTTTTCTGCAACTTCACTAAAGACTCCTGCAGGGTAGGATCTCTTCATACTTTTCTTTGTTCTTATGTAGGACAATCCAGAACTTTGTATACAGCATGTAATGTTCTTCCAGATATCTGAAGTAACTGGTGAGAGATGCTAAATTAATCCAAAAATGCAATATAAAATTAAGACTCTTTGGGAAAAATAAAAGTAAAAAGTAAAGTCTTGGTAGGAGAGAAATAATAAACATACTTCTCTGTGTCAGCTTGAGATGAATGTATTTCAGGGTTATAAAACAACCTTAACAAATGCATAAGATTGTACATAATTTCAGCTGAAATGCCAGAATTATCCCAAATAGGTACATTGCCTTTTTTACATATGTGATGGTCCATTCCAACCTGTGTTGAAACAATTGTTAGGAAATCAAGTGAAACTGCAGTACCAAAACTTGGATCCGCTATAGTTTTTATAGACTTATGCTTAGAAAGGCAACATTTCATGGCTAAATGTACATGACATTGGCAACAATGACTAATATTTGTGTGTGAATACATCAGCCAAATATATCTACATAAAAACTACTCTATGCCACAATCCCTTTGACAGTGAATTGATGATACCAAAATCAATAATTGTGCCACTTTATGACCTCTGATACCTCATTTCTGATGAATTCAATGACCTTTCCACCTGTGGATGTTTTATCAACAGCCATTCTAAAGAAAAGCAATACAGGTAGTCCTCGCTTACCGATCATTCAAAGTTAAGATGACAGTAAAAAACGAGACTTACGACTACTCCTCAAAGTTGCAGCCATCACAGCATCCTGTAGTCACGTAACTGCCATTTGAAACCTTCACAGCCAGCTTCCAACAAGCAAAGTCAGCAGGAGGCCACAAGTCGCTGTCACGTGACATCGCACTTAACAACTGCACTGCTTAGCGACAGAGTTGCTGATCCCTATTGTGGTTAGTAAGTAAGGACTACCTGTAGTCATATACTAGTGTCAATTCATAGGAACAAACACTTTGCAAAGATTTCAGGGCAAAGCTATGGCGCTTTTTAGTTGTAATAAAATAGAGTGGTGGTCATTGTTTTATTTCCAAATGCAATTCCATCTTGACTTTTATTTAAAAGAAAGCTTTTGAGGCAGTTTACTATAATCATAAAAACATGTATGTGCTACAATCATAATCCTGGTCAAGCCTTCCCTCAAAATTTGCTCATTCTTTTTTTTATTTCTTTTTCAAGATATGTGAAATGTTATCAAGCATTTCTTACATCATCTAATCCAGCACTTAGTTCTTCCAAACTTTTTGGCCATTTAATAACAATAGGAAACGAGAGAGCTAAGAGCCCTATGTTGTGACTGTACTGCATTTACAAGACTGACAATTTACTGAATCAGTACTTGTTGAAAACAAAATGCCTAGTTTTTTAAAAAAAGGTTTTAAAAAAACCCTATTCATCTACTATTGTGTAAAAAGCTTGGTCCAGCCATGACCTTGCAGTAAGACTGTTTTTGTACAGACACCTGCAAATTTTAATACACAAATTCAGATTAGCAATGTGCTTGTGACACTGATCCAAATGGCTTTCATCTAAAAGCAGGGAGCTGAAAGAGGAGACAAAAAAAATCCAGAGTTTAGAGATCCCTATTTCATGCACAAAATAATACATAATGTCTACACACACACACACACAAACAACCTATAAAAGTCAGGAGCAGGAGAGTTCCAGCTAGGAAGAGTTATGTTTGAAAATTTAGCTGACAATCCTTTTGACACTTGGACATCTGCAAACCTGCAGCAAAGCATCAGGACTAGTGTTTATACCACCTTCAAAATAACATAATAACATAATTCTATAAAAACATTGATCTCTGAGATACTTGTGTGACTATTGAAGGATATCAGCGAGAAAGGGTCATTTATAATTCTAACTCAATCACCAGCACAACCATCACCCTATGTACACATTTCTGAATACCAGAGGCCAAAGGCTGATTGTATGTCAGTGGATATAAGGAAGACTTCAGAATAGCTAAGAGGTCCCTAAGAAGTGCAGCTATTAATGGGCCATGGTGGGCAACTGCAAAACGTGGGCTCTGTCCACATGTTTGAAGTCAAGGTGGCAGTGTCCAGGTTTCCAAGTCAGGACACAACTTGAATATATAGGCATATTTCTTTGGGTGACATAAGCATGTGAGATCTAGCATCTTTGGAATCAGATGCAAACTTTTAAATGGTCAGCTTTTTTCAGGCTGCACCCCCATTTTATTGTTGTTGTTTTTTGCCCCTGGTGGTTGCAGGAGCACAGTCAGTAATACCATGACATTGAATGGCCTGGGCCAAATTTTTTTGCTGGGGGTGGGAGGAGTTTTAAGATGTGTATCCGTTACAAAGCAAATAGCATCAATTTTGGTCTTTAAACCATCCATAAAACCCAGAACCCCTAAAGCAGCTATGAACATTTCAACATTCTAGAAGGGTCCTGGGAGGCAATATGCAGCCTCCAAAGCATAAGAAATCTGTCCTACAGTAATTTAAATCAACTCATGCAGTTAGGCATAATTCAGCTGTTTCCTCCCCCACCTGATCAGTTGTAGCCCACACACTTTGGCAGTGCAAGACAACTGGAATCATACTGATGATGCAGGTAGATGGAGCATGCTGTCAAGAACCATGGTTTCCATCTGTAGAGAGCTTTAAGGAAACTAGAACGATCAGCACTTAACCGAGCTCAAGTATTTATTACAGATTTATGTAACACATTGTCTTGCTTTATGGAAGACAGGCCAAAAAGGTGTCAGAAGACAGACTCTACCTGAAAAGTGCCACATCAAGAACCATGAGAAGAAGCTTAGAAGTTGCTCATCATCAAAAATTATCTAATGGAAGTCTCAGCAATGGACAATTTACCTGGTCGTTGCTTTCCGTGATAGGGAGAAATATGTTGTATTCCTATATACCGTATTATTGTAATTAACACATGCTGTTCCTGCAGATATAAATTAGCACATGCTGTTCCTATGCAAACCGGGCTTCTCTTCTCTCCTCCCTCTTCCATTTGGTGACGTGTGAGATGGGCAACTATATAAATTGCTTAAATAAATAAAGTAAGTATGTAAGTAGCCAGACTAACTCAAGAAAAATACCCAGTGGAAAAAGATTTATGATCTCTTAACTGATTTTGGTCAAAATGTACATTGGGGTATGTGATCTGTCTTCCAAGGCCTTGCACTAGAGTGATTTGGAGGATATCAGGATATATATGAAAATAACCCATGGGTAATAGCAATCAAACATCCAGCAGTCTTGCTCACTCTAATGCATTTCACAGGTTTTTGCCTTCCATGACACAAATTGCTTGTTTGTTATAATCCTAGCATTTCACTGAATGTTATCAGGAGTTTGTGTTATAAGAAAGAACACACTGAGGCTCCTTTTCCAAAAGACTCTTGGTTTTATATTGCATTTTTGGACTGATTTAGCATCTCTCACCAGTTGTTTCAGAAGGCTTATTTGCTCACGCTACACAGCTTAGATTTATGGTACCTGGCATCCAACATGACAAACGGGCTCAACGAGAAATATTCCCATAGTAGATTCCAGCTCTGGACTTCTTTGGCTTCATGCTGCTTATTGAGATAGGCCATCATTCACAAGTGCCTACTGCTACTGCACTTCATTACCAGTAGACTACAGGTTACTGTATATTATAACAGTCCAAAGTGTAACATTCTCAGTTTCCCAAATTTGTTAGGTAATGTATTCTTTTTTTGAAGCATTTATAAATGCTGCCCCCAACCCTATTAAAATGGCAATACCTGAGTTGCATTAAATTGCAGCTTACGTTTTGTTCATATAGATAAGACTAGGCAAACATCTACCCTTTATTTATATCAAATGTTTGCCATTTCCTCAACCCAGAATCCTAGGAATGATTGTAGTTTGCTAAGAATGCTGAGAATTCTTCACAAGAAATTCTTACCCTGCCCTTGTCCACCTCTACCCCACTGGAGATATAAAGATCTAAGAGGCATCTGGGCAAGGAAAAGAGTTCTTAAATTAATTACAATTAATATTAGTTAATATTTAACCCCATTGTACAGAGAAAGGCAATCTTTAAAGACCATTGTTACTGGCATGTTCATTCTTTCGTGTTATATTTCCTTATTTCAATATGTATTGCAAATATTTTAATAAATACAATTTTTATAATTTATTCATGTGTTTGCTTGTTAATATAAACAGTCCCCAGAAGAGCCCTCCCTGCCTTTCCCTTATATATCTATCTTCCTGTTTTAAGCCTGCAGGACAAAAATTATGTTTCATCAGCCATCCACTTAAGTGCATGAAAGAGCCAATCATGGGTTCTTAGTTTTGAATAATCCAAGCTTTACAGTATAGCTGCTTGACTATTTGCAAATATGTGCTCCAAAAAGAAAAAAATAAGTGTGGAAAACTACCTACTGTAGCAGGAACCATGTAGTTAGCACTGATTAATACAGCAAGAAACTGAGCGATTCCACAAAGAATCCTAACAAGAAAACTTTTTTTTCTGGGGCATATGGTGATGGTTCTTCGTAGGTTTAATCAAGAGTAGGAAGGACCAACAGAACCGAGTTTCCAACCATTCAAAATGACCTTTTTCGTCTAAAGCATCTAAAATTACCTGAATGCATCACTGACATGAGACAGATCAAGTCTTCATATGAAACCATGGGAGAAACCAAGTTCTCTCAAATCTGACTTTGCATTTATGCTCATACAGTAGTCAAAATACTTTAATGGTCTAATCTAAAGAATATCATTATATTTTGTGTATATAATGACAGGTTACTTATATTATATACTTGTGTATATAATGGCAAGTTACAAACAAAAATGCATACTGTGCAAAAAAAAAAAAGCTATTCAAATCAACGCAAAGGTTTTGGACGATAGGGTGGCAAGGAGTTAGGTAGAACTCAGTAGAAGAGAGAATTAGCAAGAATGATCAGCTAGAGTTAGTGTGTGGCAATGGTGCCATGTAATAAACTCTATGCAATAGAGACTATGCAATAAAGACGACAGATTTGCAATCATTTATTTTTAAAAAATGCTATGAAAGTTACAGCATGAAATGTCATCTGAATGCATATAATATTAGATTTAAACTGGACTTGACTGGAGTTAAACTGAACTGTACACTCTTATAGATTCTCAGCTACACTGGTAATTGATTTGGAGCCTACCTACAGGTTTACCCAGGGCCCGTTCTAAGCCTAGGAGACCTAGGAAATTGCTGAGGGCACCAAATTTTAAGCAGTGCCAAAATTGAAAAGATTTCCAAAATACACAATATTAGTATAATATTTGCTCCTTGCTTTAGAACTTCTTTTTACACTTTTCAAAAATACCCACAAAGTTGGTCAAGTGATAATGAACAGCCCAGTAACCAGACTTTGCAAGTCACAAAAAAGAAATTATTATTACAGCTATGGACCTCAGGAAGCTGATAATATTACCAACTCAAAACAAAGGTCTGACAGGAAGGTACCGATTGAGCAAGTTGCAAGACTATCAGCGTATCGAAGTTATAAGCTCTAACAGCGCACTCCGTGCACTAGCAGAGTCACTTGAGGCTTAAATATAATTTTGCAGAATTGTTGCCAAATGACAATGGGTGCCGATGTAATTAAAATTATTTACTGTGATTCACATTAGATAGGGTGAAAATGTCCAAGAGAAGAAAAAAAATGTCCAGGGCTCAAAAACTCAAGGAAAAAAGGAAGAAAGCACCTTTTTGAAACTCCTAAGAAAATCAGAAGATGAGCCAAACCATTGAGGGGGCCAGAATATGACTTTGCTTAGGGCCCCAAAATGTCTAGAGCTGGCCCTGGTACACTACTTATATCTTAGGGCACTCTGAACTCTCTCCTATAATGGACATTGCAGGAAATCACCATCAGCAATGAGTCCATTTTAGGAAAGCTGACAGTATTTGCCATTGTTTATCCCCTGGTAAGTGTTCTAACCACTGTAATAATGGCACTGTGTTTCCTTAACATACATTGAATTATTCAGAGCTCTACAAAGATCAGGAATGATTTACAGGACAACAACTAACCACACCTTTCAGAAGCAAACTGAACTAAAATCTCTTGCTTGTATTTGCATATCTTGAGTAATCAACTGAGTATTTTGTGAGAATTTGAGCAATTGTACAGTATCTAAATTAACTGACTTCTTGTGTCTTCTATGATAAATGAGTGTAGTGTCCATGGGGTCATCCCAAAAATTGTCTGGAACTCTATTCAGCCCCCTTCTTCTTGACCCAAAGGAAATAAGGCACGCACACGCACACACAAGAGGTTTGCTCAGTGAGGCTGAAAGAAAGAATGAATAGCATCTATTTTGTCTCTGTCTACAATGATTTTACCACCTGTTAATCAGTTTGAAGCCTGACTGGTCCCATATCCTAAGTTAACTGTCTGCAAGGTATCCTGCAAATACCCCTTGGTAATAAATCATTACAGGACACCTAATCTTCACTGGCCATTGTAAGTCCAGTGGAGTCTTTTCTTCCCATTATCTCAGTCACACAATGGCAGCAGAAAACAGGACATCTTGCCTACTGTGGTTCATTACCCTTAACATGCTCCTCCTCAGCCTTTGTGAGCTTTCTTCCTGCTCCCAATGTCCTTGGAAAAGCAAGCACAATGTGCATGTTAAGCTATGTGTTAAAACAAATCCCCTTTAAAAGCAAGCCACTCGTCTCATCTTTCAATATATGTATGGCTCTAAAATAAATGATTTCCTTCAACAAGTGCCAACTGATTGAAAATGTTTGGCACACTAATGTCAGGATTGCATTTAGAAGCATATCATTTTCCAAGTCCAAATGAAACAAAGCTTAAGTATACATCTGTTGTTCATATCCCCTTCTTGTTATCTTCGTCTGGCTTGTCTCCCCCCCTCGCCCACTGTGATCTCCCTTTCTTACATTATTGTGGATCGACTGTCGCCCTTTGCAGTTCCCTGTTTTAATGATTTATACAAGTGTCCAAAACGTCTATCCTCTGCAGAATGCTCTGTTTTGTGAACTTGCTTTTTGGAAGGTCCACCACTCTAAATATGACTTAGGTACTATGATCCAGAATCTTTGCATTCAGAGAGAATAACAATTGCATATGTACCTTCAACTGTGGCAGAGAAAGCAGGGCTGATCACTAGCTGTGATCCTACTAATCATGTTCTGCCTCCTTTCCTGTCATCCTGAAAGAGAATTTAGAGCTGTGAAGGAATCCTTCACTTTTAGCAAGCATCTATGCTTGGTGAAGGTGCAAGGGGAGATAAATGTTAAGAGACTCTCAAGAGAAGGGGCAAATGTCTAATATCTCAAGAAAAACCCCTGGGGCCAATTATGATATAGTGTTATTCTTAGTAGCATTATAGGAAAGCAGTGTATGAAAACAAAGACGTTGTACCAAACGCAATGTTCCTAGGAATTGTTTTCAGGGAGTCATTCTGGGGACATTTTCAAAGCATGTAAATACCCATAGAGCTACTAAGTGGCTTTGAAAAATTAAAGAAAAATAAGGGAAAATGTTACCACTGATTACTCTTGTAAAACAGCAGTTAGGTCCATCTGAGTGACTGTGCTGCCAAATTGTAATCCTCAACCCCAACTCTACCTCCTGGAAATGTCCTCCCCCAAGTTATTTCATATAATTTCAGCAAAGTCCTAAAAAGTCTGGCAGATTTCCCTTTGGGGCTAACGGGGATTTTTTTCCAAAGCAAATTCCAGCTTCAGAGTTTTCCTCAGGACCTCAGCAATGGAAGAAAAGGTTAATTATCAGTGATCCCAGCAGACAGTTTTTTAAAATTATTATGGTTGGTCGCACAGTCAGCCAGATGTTTAGACTGGATTTGACATTTTTGTCTACCTATCGAGTCCTTCCCGAGGACCTGGGATAGGCAGATGTTGCTGTTTAATGGTGTTAAAGGTATCGTTGCAGGATGTAAGCTGCTCCAAGCAAAGCTGCCTTTTGCAACTGACTGATGGTGATTTTGTCAATGCAGATGGAGTTCAAGTGGTGCTCCAGTTGTTTTGGGATTGTACCCAAGGTGCCTTTTACTATTGATACTATCTTTGCTTTTTTTTACCACAGACTTTCTATTTCTATTTGCAGGTCTTTATATTTTGTGATTTTCTCCAGTTCTTTCTCTTCTATT